CATAATATTCATAAATACGTTTTCATTAGTGTATAATCACCTAAAAATAAGAATTGTTGTGTTTTTGTGACCTTAGAATGAGAAGTTTTTATCTACATGTTGAACCGTCACGTTTTTACAATAAATGTAATAAATTATAAATGTATTTTGCTTAAGCTTGGAGCACTACCTGGTTCCCTTGTATTCCAGAAAAGGCAGACAATCTCCACAGCTGATGTCTCCAAAACAATAGATGGATAAATAGTACTACGTATACGTACAGTCGATGGTTTTGGTCACATTTTGAGATACTATGAGGAGTTAGTGATTTTTATTTATTTATTTTTTTTTCTTTATTATTTTTTTGGTCTTTATGCCTTTATTTTGATAGAGAGACAGCTGGAGATAGACAGGAAAGGGGGTCAGAGAGAGAGGGGATGACATGCAGCAAAGGGCCGCAGGTCGGATTCAAACCCGGGCCGCTGCGTATATACCGGGCGCCCGGAGTTAGTGATTTTCTTCTTCTTTCATGAAATGTATTTCCAATTAAAACTGTTGACAGCGTGTTCTGTGGATTGTCTGGATAATCCAAAGCAGCACCATAAGCATTCCATTGGTTTTCCAATGGAATTCGTATGTGCGACGTGGCAGATATCTGAACTAATAAACCCATATACCAAATAACACCATAACTATCTGCTCAGCTGTACCACTAGAGGTAAGTGATACATTTTGTTTTTATGTAATTTGGATGACCAAACGTTTTAGATCAGTTGAAGACTATGGATTCCACGAACACAACCTTCCAGAACTGGAGAGAGATCATGGTTCAATCAGCTTCAATCTGGTACCATGTATTTCATATCTCATATTGATTTTATTACATTGTTTTCATTTAATACAATCAATATGAGGCAAAGACTTCCCAGCCTTAAATGTGCACCAAACAGGGAGCGGTAAAAGGAATCAGGCCTGTGATTTTACCTGCTGGTGTGTGTGGCTCACAGAGCAGAGGGTCTGGGCAAAAGGCCTCTTACCTGTCAGACACACAATAAATGAGCTGCTGAGCAATTAGCTCTTCATCCTTCACCTGACAGTGCTCACTAATTCTCCCCAAGTACTGACTCAAAAGGTGTTTGAACTCAGTGAGAACATGCTGGATGATTGAAATACACATTTAAAAGCCTGGTAAGTCACAGATTTGCATTCAGCGTAAGATTGACTAATCCCCCTAGGTCCTAATCAATGCTGCAGAAAACCTGAATCTGGAAAACTTCATCCCCCCCTTCACACACTCATTTAAAGACTCAAATCTTCTCAGATAGCCAATTAGCATATATATTAGTTAGTTGCATAACCTTAACCATAGCATAACCATGCATGAGCCTGTGCAGATGTTATAGAAATAAATAACTGAACAAACACTGCAGTAATTGATTGTAAATAATGAAGAGTATCTTGTGACTCTGATTATGAGTATATGATTATGCACTCAGACCGTCTACAGGGGTCCTTGAGGTTTTATTTCACGGACTGGAAGTTAGCCGAGTGAGAGAATGTAGAAGAATGAGTTTACAGATTTCACACTCTGCACTTTTAATCTGCCAATGGACAATATAGACGGCTATGGAATAACGTAATCTTTTCAGACGGGGATCCCTAAGACTATATCCTGTCAAATACAGGTCTGCAGCCTGATGTGTAGCAATCTGGGGGTCCTTGACACCTAAAAGATTGAGAACCACTGGTCTATGATATGTAAGACACATGGCATATACACTGACCGAGATAACATTGATTGTGATATTTAATTCATGCTGCAGAAATGCCATAATACAACTGGAACTCTCACCTTATTCATAGTAACCTTCAAGCTGCAGTAGGTCATTTTTTTATAAAAACATCTTCATCATCTGTCATATCTGCTGAAACTTTGACTTTATCCTGAGAGTAGTACATGAGACAGATCATCTGTGAAAAAAGCTGGTTCCTCTGGCTCATTCTAGTGCTCCTAATGACATTTGTAAGAATCCACCGGGCCTGATCACAAGGCCAAAAAAAAAAAGCCCCAAGCTCATCCATCAGACTTCAGCAACAAAGAGATTACCTGTAAATATTGTATTGTAAGTTGTTTTATGAAGTGTTAACAGATAATACTGCTGCAGTTTAGTTTCTATTTCCTAATTAAACCAACAGTGTAAAAGAAGGAGTTAAAGTAGTTATTGATAGAATTAAAGAGGAATATTCAGAGTGCAGGAGATGATGGTTGTCATGAAGAAGCAGAATTCAGATTCAGGTAGCTCCATCTTTACATACTCCTGTATTAAGGATGTACATGTCCATCACTGAGCCTCGATGCACTGCCAATGACCCAGTACATTAAAGATACATAAGAAGAAAATAGTTAGTGAGTTACAATGTTAAAATTGTATCTGGTAAAGTTTTACATAAATATAAATAGATAACTCTTAATAGTGGTCTAACGTGAATGTGACCACCTGATAAAAAACCTCCTGCTGAATATTATAAAGGTTTGTCTAAAACCATCAGTACGGTTGCCTATCAGATCATTTGCTTGTGTCACTGCTTCAGTTTAGTCAAAGCGACTCTCAAGTTTTGAGGCGTGGACATAAGATAAACTGAGTTGAGCTGAGAGAAAGTTGCATGTTGTGTCTCTGAAGGCTACTTTCATTTAAAAAAAATCCTCTCAGGGGTGGGGAGGAGTGGCTGGCTGAAGGTCTGCAGCTTTGCCAGACAGTGGGGGGGGGGCAGGTGCTGCTTTGCAAGTTATAAAAATAACTGCTGATTGGGAAAAGAGTGTTATCAGGTGACTGGTCCAGCTGCGGCTTGCTGCGCCGCATCTTAAGGATTCATTTCAAATTCATGCAGTCAGTCTTTTTTAGAACAACGAAGCAGTTATTTACTGCATGTCACAGTAAATAGGGAACTCTAGAGGATATTGCAGCTTTATTCACATGAAACCAACAAACCACAGTTGAGAGAGGAGGATGAAGAGGTGGAGGAGGAGGAGGAGGAGGAGGGAAAGAATTAAAGGTTAATACAGTCTGTAAAGCAGCATCAGCATCAGATGGAAAAAAAGAGGTTGGTGAGGGCAGATTGCTCCGTCACTAAGTCTACACAGTGAGTCATTCACTGCAGATAAGACAGCGCGCTTTATGAATGGCAGCTAGTGACTCAGGGCTGGAGGGGGGGGCATCCTGTCTAAGCCTGAAATTACATAGCATACAACGAGGATCAACGGCCTCTCAAGCACACACATACTCTCACTTACTTTTGTTTCACAAGAGATGACCCCAGCAGCAAGCAGAGGGACAAAAACACACATTCGCAACTGAAAGCCTTCTAACCGTGCTCAGTTATAAGCAATGCAGAGTGTGCGGAGGTGTGAATGTATGCTGAGGCTGAAGGGCGACAGGCTTAAATACTTTAAAGTACTCCTAAATGTTCACAAAGGCAATGTCCAGAGCTTTTATTACCCAATAAAAGCTCTGGCAGGAGGACAGTGTTTTCCACTGCGCTCAGATCAGCAAGAACATGATTTGAAGTTCTGAGTGCTGCGCAAACCACTTCCCCAGTGATGGAGACGGAAAACATCTCTGGTTAAAGCCACCATCGGGATGCCCACAAGACTGAAGCGAAGAAGTCAGTAAGTCGAAACTGTACAGGGAGCTAAAAGCTATCGGGAATATGGGACATCAGATTTCTGTAAGTGCATCCAAAGAATAAATATTAGTTCTAATTACAATAAAGCAACTAGGTTAGTGCTTCAGTTATGCGTAGGGCCTTTTACTCTTATATTTGGATGTCTCTATTATTTAATGAAAATATTTTCTCTCTCATCACCACTTCCTACTAAAGAAATCGTGCGCATGAAATCTATTTACAGAGTAACAAGGTCAGTTTCTGCTAAATCTTTTTAAAATGTGATTTTTCAGAGCTGTTAGTAGCACAAAGAAAATTCTATTCATTGTTTAACAGCAAGTGTAATAAGTTAGCCAGATATCAGTGTCATGGCACACAGTATCATCAGAAATTTGCCATTATCAATTCTCAACATGCAAAATAAACACCACACCCCCCATAATTCACTCACACCAGCACTGTCCTGCACTGTATTCTCTACTGTACGCTGCTGTCTACAATACTTCTTATATTTCTGTACTCATATGGACAGACTATGGGGTTATGGAGCTCCAGGTACAGATGCCCCAAAGCCCCCCCCCACATAATTCTTAAAGGTGTCGTGATGACTTCTTTGTTTTGACATGTTAAAAGTGAAGGTGTTTCACAGCAGGACTGTTGACCCCCCCTTCCCCCCCGATTCTCCAAAGATAAATGTGAAGAAGAGTAATGTGTCAAAGAAGCTCTGGTTTATTGGCTCCACTCACTGGTCAGCGTGTGCAGAGGCAGAGCGGGTCGTTCCTTAATCGGAAGGTTGTGGGTTCGATCCCCGGCTCCTGGTGCCACATGTCGAAGTATCCTTGAGAAGTACTGAACCCCGATTGCTGCACTGCCGTACATGCTGTGGCTTCCTCATTGTATGTTGCACTGTGGTAAAACCTTTGAGTGGTGAAGCAAGGCCTAACAATTACAGGTCCATTTACCAGTCACTGTGTACACTGGTATGTTACATTAGTGTACTGTATATTGCGACACATGCGGCTCCTCATTGTTGTTGCACTGTGGTCCTGGAGGAAGTAAATTTCCAGTCACTGTGTACAGAACAGTGCATGAATGGGTTCACATTCCTAAACCAAACAGTATATAAAAAAAAAAAAAAAAAGCACCAAAGCACAGACCACTGATGTGGCCTCACTTGAAGGCCACATAAGCAGGACTACCTATTTTAGTTGAGCTGGTCTGTTAGTAACTTTAGAAGGTGTTTTAAGACTTTGGATATAAAATGCAGTATTACCCGACAGACAGACATTTGACACATAAGTGCTGGTTTGGGATAAGAGACAGTTGATTTCAGTTGGAAGAAAGAGCTGAAGCACATATTGCATTTAATACCCTTTATTCATTATTTCCTCTTCAAACACATTTTCCTGATGTACATGTACATTTCCATTCAAAAGGAAAAACTCAAGTGAGGTAAAAGTGCTGAAAAATGAAATAGTATAATGGTTGGAACCATCAAACTCATCGTCACAATCACGAAGCTGACAAAAAAGCTCTTTTGCATTAACTATTTCAAAAAAAATATAATAGTGCGACAAATTTCATGTTTTCCCCCACTTTGTGTATAGCCACGGGCATCCCTTCATACACACACATGCAAACAAGCACACACACCTCCACGCGTTAACGTAAACACAAATCTGCTGCAAAAAAGAAATTCACAACTCTTCATATAGAAACTGTAGGAGAGCTTCCAGAGGGCCTCCCTCACATCCCCATGGTGTAAGACTTGCACTTTAGACAAGCATAACCACTATATATCTAATCCACAGCTTGCTCTGCACCCCCTACAGCAGAGAATACATCTACAGGTGTCATAAATAGAAAAAAAATACACAATGGCCCAGACAAGTTGGACGACCAAAGGCAAGGTGAGTGAGAGAAGCAACAGGATCAATAACACTGACAAGTTTACAGCAGAAAAAAAAAGTGTGGCTAGAAAATAAAAACAAAAAGGCAAAATACACTTCATTCTATCACCCCCCCCCCCCCCAACATCGTCCTCCACACAAAGTTCATACATCAACATACATACACACATCAACCCTGACGAAGGAAGTGCACCCCACTCATCTAGGGGGGGGCAGGGGGTAAAGCTTTCATTAACAGCCGTCAGGGGAAAAAAAAAAAAAAAAAAAGTCACAATAACCGTAAACACATGAAAGTGGGGTGGATTGGAAAGAACGCAGAGGATTTTCATTCCGGGCTGCGTTCACCATAGACCAGAAACTGCAAGTTGTCGTTTGTTGCATTTTCTTTGACATCGCTCAGAACTGCTTTTAGTGAGCGATGTCAACAAGAAGCCCAAGAAGAGACTAGTCCTCCCCCCTCCCGCTCTGCAGACTTCAACCTGTAACAAGCAGCGAGATCAGGCTGCTGGTTTTGAATGTGCCTCTGTGCTTTGAGAAACCAATTAATGGTCCACTCAGAGGAGACTCTGGGCTGTCGTTCCCTGAAAGGTATATTGTAAGTAAATCGATGGTTTGTGCCCTGGCTCTCAAACAAAACAAAGATCATGTTAGGGTTGAGAGTGTGGCGATACGTCCAGCTGCTGACACTGAACTAGGAGGGGACTGTCCTCTGAGTGATCAGGTTTCAGAGCAAATGGATGCACAGATAAAACCCAGCGTTGCAGTCAGGCTGTAGCAGGCTGCTGTCTGCTGGCTCCCTCCACCTTCAAACATGATCTACTCTACTAAGAACCTGCAGTTTGGGTAAGAACAGAGTCAAGACTTACAATTAATACGGTGAGAAGAACAGACAGAATGAAGGTGAGTCTCAAAAGGGGACGTCCCAATGTCAAGGGCAGATTAAACCAATTTACCATCCCAAAATAAAAAAAAATAAAAAAAAAGGGGACAAAACAAAAGCTCTCAAAAACACATTATGTCCCTGAGAACCAGCTCAACTCCCTCCAGCAACTGACCACATTAGCTTATTTACATTCCACTCAGGTGGCTGGGTTTGGAGTAAAACAAGGCCTCTTTAAAGTGCTTCTGTTAGTAAGGGTCTCTGCTGGGGGACCGCCAGCTACTGTGCCACAAGTATGGCTTGTCAGGGCACTTAAGGTATTGCTTTGGTTTGGATGGGGGACAGAACTGTCAGCAAAACAATACAGCCAGGTTGCTTCGGAGCAGGTGGAGCTATGATGCTAGGCAGTCCATTAAATTAGGGGTGTCAATACATAAAAAGGTCTGTTTAGAAAATCTGAATTAAACAAAAGTTGGATTTCAAAAAGGCAGTCAGGTGACACTGAAGTCAAACATGGCTGCCAGTGAAAACAAGGCCGAAACGAGAAGGAAAAGACATTAGACGGGGATAAAATGAAATGGCTGAGAAGACTGACAGGAATGACTAGACAGACAGGTTTAAAGGAGAAAAAAAACATGATAAATACCAAAAATTCAAATTCAAACCAAACTATTTTGCTCCTCAACCAAAAATGTATGTATTCTTCTATGAACTGCTATCTAATACAGATATGATACAGTCTTGTATCAACTGTTTCACTGGGTTTAAAGGGGCTGAAAAAAAAAAAAAATCTGATCACCATTTTTAAAAAACCCTTTAAAAAGCTAATCACTCTCCAAAAAGTCAAAGGCACTTGAATGCTTCAGTTGCTGGTTGTAAAGTACTTTGGTCCAGAGCGAGACAGTGTGTGGCACCTCACTTGTTAAAAAAGGGAAAAACAAAAACTGACTACGGCAGTTCTGATACCAAAGTTCAGCAGCTGAGCCAGCAGAACATGCCCTGGGTGCGACCTGCACAGTAGATCGAGCTGACCTCCCTTTAACAATTCTCTAACCAGCAGTGAGTCGGGGGCCGGCTAGATAAGACACACTCCTGGTTATCTAGTATAAACACGAGCCGCAGTGAGAGGCCGGGGTTTCTGAGTAACTGAGGGGACCGGGGGGGGCTTGCAAAAGAACCAACCTGGATGCTGGTATGTCAGGAGAGTCCCAACTCAGGCCTCCTGCTAGTAATGCCACACTGCAAGTGTTCCAAGTCAACACCTAATAATAGGCTAGGCTAAAAATAGAAATTCATAAATTTAGGGGGGCAACTCTGTCACAGATGGTGGAGGGAGGGAAGTCAGTTGTAGCTTTCAGGATAAATAAAAATCCAAATCTGAAAGGGGAGTGGTATCCCACTAGCAGGCTGGCGTTTCTCTGAACATACCAGTCGCACTCCCCGCTGTCTATCCTCCCATGACCACAAAAGGGGTTCAAACACTGCATGGTCCCAGCAGGCACCGCATACGAGAGGACAGGAAGTGATTCAGCTCCCACACATGTAAGGTGGCAGGGCTGCTGCTCGCATACCCATCCCCAGTTCCCCTGCTCCGGAGATACCTCCCTCGGGGAAAAAAAAGAAAAAGAGGATAATTATAGACTAGCCTGTAGTTTTGAGAGCCAGTCGCTGAGCTGCATCAGAGGAGGATCCCATTTCAGGGCTGCTGTCGAGCCTGCAATGGTGGTGAGGGACCACACCGCCGGCCCGCCATGTGCTACTCCTTTTAAGGGAAGGGACAACCAGTCAGCCTGTCACTCCGAGACTCCCAGCCAGCTCTCGCTGCAGGCAACCAGGCCAGCCACACTGCCTCAACGGGCCCGTGTCCACCCCATGTCCTGTCACTCAGTCTCCCACAATAGCCAGAGGACTGTGACATCTGGAGGTCACTGGTGAGGCTTTGGAAGTGACTTTAAAAAAAAAAAAAAAAAATAAAAAACACAAAAACAGGGAAAAATAAACTCCTCAGACACACAGGAGCCCGTCTATCTGAGGACTAAACTGTCTCACTGCACATTTCCACTCAAAGCCGCTCATGATTGTAAAGTACAGGGCTGAGTAAACTGGATAAAGGGGGAGGAGGGGAGCTCGCCCTACACTGAAATTCACAGTGGAAAATAAAAATACACTTTTTTTTTTTCTTGCATTGTTTACAAATCACAGGCACTACCGGCATATTAGGGAGAGCACAAAGGTCTGTGAGAGATATTTATGTCAAAATGAATTAAAACAAATACAACTCCACTCGCTTCCCCTTCATTTCTGATGTGAACAAAGTTATTAGTGTACCACCTATGTTCCTTACCCAGTGAACTAAACCTTTTTAACACTGGTGCTCTGCTATTTTTTTTGGCCATCACCTATAATATTACCCCTTTCACAATAATACCATTTTTCAATATTTTCTGTTTTTTTCTGCCTTTTCACATTTTTTTTTTCTTAAATCACAGGAGAAAACCAAATATAGGGCTACAACATTTTCTTCTTCCATTCCTTCAAAAATAGCCCATACTTAAATTATTGGAGGGTAAACCTGGAGGTTAAGGCACAAACACAACTCCATTAAGAATAAGGTTGATAAACAGGGAAACAACCAAACATGATGAGAAAAAAAAAAATCTAAACACTTAAAAATATCACTTTCTATTCAATGACCTAGACAACTCTGTAGATAAGGAATGAGAAAGGATTCCAAAAAAACAAAGCAAAACACTTGTCCACTTAAATATAATTGTGCCTTGAGAGGAACATAGCATTTATTGCCTCAATAATATAATTTTTTTGGGGGAGTTTTTTTTATTTAATTTATCCCTTCTCTCTTTTCAAAAGCAGCAGCAGCAGCAGCGGCGGTGCCCTCTTGTACATCCTTCCACTTGGTTGTTTTATCAGTTACATGGCAGCCATGTTGGAATGTTCTGGTTAGCCACATAGTAGTTGCTGAAGTTGTGGTCTCGGACATAAGGCGCAGGCTGATAGTAGCAGGTGACGCAGGATGCATCCGGGATAGCATTCTGCTCGGCCAGGACTCGGAAGGCCATCAGCGAGATGAGATGGAGGGTCTGCCGCCGCTCGTGGCCCATGAGGCACACCGTGCTCTCGTTGACCACTCGCCGCAGGATCATGAGGTAGTCGTACTTGCTCTTCTCCTCGCCTATAAAGTGGCTCTGGAGGTAGGCCTCCACCTTGCGCTGCTGCTCACCGATGTCAGGGAAGTCGATGAAGAAGCGTGAACACATGTACCGCTCCAGGCCCTTGAACTCCTCCTCGCTGGCAGGCCGAAAGTCCCGCACCAGCAGATTGCAGTATTTCAGCAGGCCGCCGCCTCGGATCTCCTCGGGCCGCTTGGTGGCGATGAGCTTGTTCCGCAGGTGGCTCAGTGCCATGTTGAAGTCCCCGTACATGCTCTCCCCACTCACAGTGGGGTGAAAGGCCTGTGACATGGGCGTCTGTGCCAGCTCGTAGTAGGCAAGCATGGAGTCCAGCACAATCTGAAAGGAGTCCACACTGAACTCAAACTGCCGCCGTATTGAGTCCACAAACTTCAGCTCCACATTGCGGCCGTTGTTGTTGGAGAGGGAGATGAGGCTCCAGCGGTCCTGCTCTGTGTTGACTTTCACCAGCTTCTGAACATATGCCTCTTTGAGAGTCATGGGTGTAATTTTCTCTTTGTTCACACCCTCAGGTAGGAAGTCCAGCAGGGTACCCAGGACCACGTCCTTACTGAGGCGGAACTCTGCCTCGTGCGGCAGGTCCACCCTGAAGATGACGTCCAGATCCTTGTAGCTCCAGCCAATATCCTGCACCAGTACGTGGCTGGCCGTGGAGCCATTGAGCCTTATGTCCTTCACTCTGATGCCACTCAGCTCCAGGCGGGAGCGGACACGCGCCACAATGTCTTTCAGCCGCACCTCTAAGGTAGGGAAGTTCCCCCGTCCATGTACAGGCACAACCTCGGTCAGAACCTCATTCAGCCGGCTCACCTGCTCCCAGGTCAGGACACTGACGGAACAACTCTTTGATTCCTCTTTGTTATCCATCTTCTCACAAAAGTTCAGATTAACTGAGATGGCAGGAGAGAAAAAAAGATGTTAGTTTTGGCTTTCAAATGTGACACGAACCAAACAAAACCTACAAAAATCAGACAATTTGAACCCGTTTCCTGTCACAGCAACACAAAATACAACACAAGCACATTTGAATTAGTTGTAAGAACGACCATCAAACACAAACCCAATACAAGGACAAACAAATGTTAGATATTAGACCTACTGGCTCGCGAGTTTTAAAATATCTCATGAAACAGCAGCATCATGACCCATTCAGCACGAGCAGAGCAAAATGAGAGCACGAGACAACCTGCTTGCTCTCTGTCACACACACAGAGACACACACACACACACACACACACACACACACAGAGACACACACACACAGAGACACACACACACGAGACACACACACACAGACACACACACACAGAGACACACACACACAGAGACACACACAGAGACACACACAGAGACACACACACACACACACAGAGAACACACACACACACACAGAAACACACAAACACAAAACACAACACACACACACAAACACACACACACAACACACACACACACAAACACACACACACACAACACACAAACACACACACACAGAGCCCGTGAGCTTTCTAGAACAGCTCACCCCGCGAGCCTGGCTTTTATTCCAGAACCGTTGAGAGACAAACACTAAACTTGCTCAAAGTTACACCAAACCGACGTTTCCCCTCAGAAATAACCCGAAACTAACGCTAACAAAGCAAATTACCGTTACACACGTTTCGTCAAGACACCACAAGTAATTATTTATTCCAGCTGACTTATCACTTCAGCCGTGACGATGATGTCGAGCTAACGTTAACCGCTAACTTAACTCGGTGCTAACTAGCATAACCTGATTAAACAAGAACCACACCGGGATATAAAACTAACGCCAACGTGCCTTACCTTTACGCCAGGTAGATAACGTTAAGTTTGACTCAATAATATAAATCCATATGGCGACCAATCCCTCCGCAAATTCAGCAAAGTCACGTACCGTAAGTTTGAAACGATCAAGAGAAAATGAGTCCACGTTTTACGCTGAAATATCCCAACTGACTGAACTGTCACGTTTTGGTATCATGGATACGATAAACTTTCACTTAACGAGTCTAACTTGCGTGAACTTAACTATTGAGGTAAAACACAGTTTCCATTGACAGAGAGGAATGAAGGAGAAAAGCAGTACGTACATTTCCAAAAGCGTGCTCGGGAAGCATTCAAAGTCGGATACAGAAGATGTTAAATAGTAATTCGTGCAGACAGCTCCACATAATCCACCGCCTGAGAGACACACACACAACGCCACCGGTGAAAAGTTGATATTTGAACCATTCCCCTCGCTGAAGACACGCCTGTTTTATAAAGCCGAAGTACGACCCACCGACACAGACGCAGAGCCGTGGCACGACACAGTCCCTGTCTATGTAGCGTGGCTTTTATAATAAAAAAAATACTATATGACTTATATATAATGTTGTATATGTAAAGTAAAACACTAACTTTATATATTTACCCCAAAGTCCAACTTTCAACGTCAGCAGATCACATAGTTGTAGAACCGTCGAATGTGATTGTAGCAATGCGCCGAGCAGAGCGTCTGATTGGTCAACGAGGTTTTTGCGTTGCCAAGTAACCTGGACCGTCTCCAGGCGGACGGGCCGACGTTCTCTCACTGTTGCTGTGCCAGAGTGAAGTTCAAAAACAGCACTCATCTGCTCTGTGTTTATATTAAAGCCAATCTGAGGTTGTGATCATTTTACTCTAAAATATATTTTTGAATATATTCTACTCATAAGTGTGTTGCCCTATAAATTAACACTAAACTATGTTTTTTGACACAACCATTTTGAATTAGATTGTATTTCTATTTTTGGGTGTATTCTTAATATTCTCCATGTATTGTCTTCAGCAAAACAATTGGAACCTTTGTTGATCAATAGTTCATTTTGCAGTTTTCCAGTCTCTTTCCTGCAGTGATTCTATATTGATTTGTCAGAGAAGACTCTTAAAAAGTTAATTGACAGTGTCAAATATAACTTACAACAGTGTTTCCTTGCCTTACTTGGCAAGGAAAGTTCCACACACACACACACACACACACACACACACATATCAATATGTGAGTCAGTGAGGAAGAGAGTTGGGGTTTACCAGCAAGCCCTCATACGGTCAGCAAAGTGCTATGGGCTATGCAGATTAATGCTAAATATTATCTATATTAAACAGATCTATAACACTAAATACACTCAGAAGTCCGTTTATTGTATTGAGACTACTTTGACTGATATCACATGAGGGCAAAATATTTGAAACACCTTTCAGTATAACACAACAGTTTGAGAGCACCACAAACTACCTTTTCAAAATTGATGCTAAAGTTAACACATCTTTAAACACAACCTGCACAGACAGCATTAGTTCTCACAAGCAACCAAATATCCCCACTGGGAATCTGCTGATGGTCTTGACAGGCCTTTCTACTGCACAGGAAACATTGCAGGAATGTGCTTGTGGTGACTTAGCAGGGAGAATCCTCCCTAACATTTCTACGGAAGAAAGTTCATTTTACTAGAACACATAAAAACTTTCCTCTGTAAATCTCTTGCAGTTGTGCAAGAGCGCTCACACACACACACACACACACACACACACACACACACACACACACACACACACACACACACACACACTATAGGCTACATACATATTCTATTCTGACAAACAGCACAGCTGCATTGTTGACCCCCCAGTGACACTCTGGAAATAAGTTCTTCCCTCACTAAGTCAGAGGCAATTATTAATGCAAGGAAACCACAAAAGATATGAGAGAGTTATGATTCTTTGGAAAGTAAAAGACAGGCTTATGCCAGTAAATTCTGCTATTGTTTCAACAATAAGAGCCTGTTGCCTTGTAAAGGGAAACAGAACAGTTGATGATTAACAACAGTTAAAGGTCCAGTGTGTAAAATTGAGGAGGATCTATTGGCAGAAATGGAATATAATACTCATAACTATGTTTTCATTAGTGTATAATCACCTTAAAATAAGAACTGTTGTGTATTTTCGAAACCTTAGAATGAGAGATTTTTATCTGCAGCCATATTGAACTGTCATGTTTCTACAGAACAGACAAACCAAGCACTGGCAATAGATAGGGCTTTTCATGTTTTTCACAAGTTTTGTGGCCACCATAGTTTCTACTACACACTTGAGGTGTGAGCGGCATTCAAAAAGTTGCAATCTGCAACTTCACTGCTAGATGCCACAGAGTCGTACACCCTTCATGTTAACATACAAAACAAAGCAGCTTATTGAAGAATTAAAGCACAACCAGTGGAGTAGAAATAACAGGCAGTGTGCTGTTCTCACAGGGAAAACTGTGGCTTTACTTCTAAAAACCACATTTGGCACTGATGGCAGCAAGTAGTGGGTATATTGATAAAATCATGCGTATCAGTATGTGTAAATTTGATATCATATTGCTATAGCACTCACTCCCTGTCTCTCACTCCCTGTACCCTCACTCTCACTTTAACCACAGCCATGTTATATTTGTCAGGTCCAAATGAAAAAATATTTGTAGACAAAATAAAGTATTGGAATGAGACGTAACAGTGAGTGTGGGATATTTGGCCCAACCAATCTCCTACCCGAACTCCAGCACAAAAGTAGAAAAAATGACAGAATTTAAGAATAAAATCAATATAATTAAAATAATCATTAATCAATTATTATATAGATGCAAGGTGTATTCATATTATTTGTCAAACTACAATTTTATCATTTTAAATTCACACCTTATTAAAATGTAGAATTGTGCATCAAACGTCCACGTATGTTTGTTATGTTCTACAGTCACGTTGTCACTATGCCAATATAAGTGAAAAAATATAAGAGTAAAACCACTGCTACTTATTGTTTAAGGCTATTTGGAGTTACAAACGGTTATTTATTCAAGATCATTTTATATCAGAATACTTGTTTGGCATTTCATACGCTGAACAGACATATTAACCTCTTCCTAGAAGCTGCTGGAGTGTAACACTTTTTTACCTGTTTTCAAAATATGCCCCAGACTCAAGGACTGTCTGGTCCCCCATTTACATTTTCCTAAACCCACTCTTCCAATCACATGACTAGTGATGGATAACTCATGCCAATGAAAAAAACGTCTGTTGGATGCACATCTGTCCTCTACTAATCTATTCTGCAAGTGTCTATCATTGGACTTCATCATCTTTCATATGAAACAAAACTATAAACTAATATTAAACTATGTTTTTTGACACAACCATTTTGAATTTTATTTCTATTTTTGGGTGTATTCTCAATATTCTCCATGTGTTGTCTTCAGCAAAACATAAACAATTGGAACCTTTATTGATCAATAGTTCATTTTGCAGTTTTCCAGTCTCTTTCCTGCAGTGATATACCCTAACCCTATATTGATCTGTCAGAGGAGACTCTTAAAAAGTTAATAGACAGTGTCAAATATAACTTACAACATCATCTCAGGGAACTGAACAAGTAGGGTAGTGTGTTTCCTTGCCAAGTAAGGCAAGGAAACACACATATCAATAAGTGAGTCAGTGAGGAAGAGTGTTACAGGGAACAGATGTAACTAAAGATGCAGTTTCCTGCAAAAGAGCTTCTTCCTTTTCTCTGCGACATTAGTGGTGGGAGAAAGAGTAAGCTGAAACCACTGATCGACAGTGTGGAGCTTAAACCACACATATGCTGTAGTGTAGTGTGTGTGTGTGTGTGTGTGTGTGTGTGTGTGTGTGTGTGTTGCAGGGGAGCCCCTAAAGGAGTGGGTTGTACATCACCTCAGTGCCGGTGAATCAGTAGCACTGATAGGAAACTAGAGGAGCACAGAGGGGATTTCCTCATACATGCATCATACTTTCAATAAAACGGATATTCACCTCAAATGTACAGAAGAGACATAAAACCTTTATTCCGTCATCGTTTCAAACCGATACCTAGAAATACCTAGGAAGGTAGTGTCAGCTGGCGAGGATGGGACAGCACATCTGATGAGACAGTCAGCTCTGACATCAGGCCAGCAAATCTGTTGCTATCAATGTTGGTAGCAGCCTCAAAATCCCAGTGTGGTTCAAGAGAGTAGCTCCAGTTTCATCAAAGTAAACAGGCTGAATAAAATAAGATATGGGTTGCATTATAGATCTACATATAAAAATAATGAAATCCCATAATAATATGAAATATATGTTCCGTGTACATATTTCTTAAAGTACAGAAACATCAAGTTATTCCTCATTTTTCTGAGGTCTAATGTGGCCTCACAGACAGAACCAAGCTGAATTGTCGGGATATTAGTCCTAGGTTTGACACTGACTCTTAAACCCACCCTGTGTATATGGTATAATAAAAATAATGCATTTCCGTTGGTGTTTTTTTATCTTGCATATTGCAGATGGCATTATATGACACTAACCTGCAGACTTCTCATTCAATTTTTAGACACATTTCTGTACAGCTCATTTATTTAAGTATCCGGCCATTTTATATATATTCTATTTGGTATCTTTTTATCTTTATTTATATTTTTCGTAAATTCTTCGTATGTGAAAACTTACTTGGCAATAAACCTGATTCTGATTCTGATTTGTGCTTAATTCCTGGCCTAGGCAGAGCAGGTAAAACCAGAGTTTTTGTTGGCCTCAGGGTGTTTAGTGAACTGTCTGGATGAATGATGACCTTTGGCCTCTGAACCCCGGCTGGCCTGAGTGGGCTGACATGCATGGAAAGCAGAAGCATCTTTCAGGAGGTTCTTGCAAAGCATATGTGTCTCCCACATCATATACACCACACCTGAAACACATCTGCTCTGTTCTTTATTACACAATTTTCTAAATAATTAGAAATATTACGCAATCTGTGTGCACTTTATCTGAAAACAGCAGATCTGACCACAAATACTGACACATGCATGCCTTTGGTGGCACAGTATAGCTGAGTGCTTTTACTATTGTGTTAGCTGTGGGACTGAGAAACTCAATGTTGATGCAGAAAACATGTGGATCTAGAGTCTGAGGTTTATAGCACTGTATACCTTATAGCACTGTATACGTTGAATAAATAAGATATTGCCTGGTGAGCCATGGCCGGGACACAAGTACAAAACCAAACAAACTCTAAATCCAGGACAGCAGTCCAAATGCAAGTATATGTATAACTGACACAACAATCTCACCACAACAGCATGAATAAAAGAAAAGAGGAGAATTTTAATTGATAGGACTGAATTTTAATGCCTAAATACTGAGACAGGGGGAAGAAGGATCTTTACTTTGAAA